TTCACATCACACATTGCCCTCAGACATGACATCTCCACTGCCTCCAGCCTTCTCCTCGCTGCAACATTCATCACCCATGCTTCACACCCATATAAGAGCGTTGGTAAAACTATACTCTCATACATTCCCCTCTTTGCCTCCAAGGACAAAGTTCTTTGTCTCCACAGACTCCTAAGTGCACCACTCACCCTTTTCCCCTCATCAATTCTATGATTCACCTCATCTTTCATAGACCCATCCGCTGACACATCCACTCCCAAATATCTGAATACATTCACATCCTCCATACTCTCTCCCTCCAATCTGATATCCAATTTTTCATCACCTAATCTTTTTGTTATCCTCATAACCTTACTCTTTCCTGTATTCACTTTTAATTTTCTTCTTTTGCACACCCTACCAAATTCATCCACCAATCTCTGCAACTTCTCTTCAGAATCTCCCAAGAGCACAGTGTCATCAGCAAAGAGCAACTGTGACAACTCCCACTTTATGTGTGATTCTTTATCTTTTAACTCCACGCCTCTTGCCAAGACCCTCGCATTTACTTCTCTTACAACCCCATCTATAAATATATTAAACAACCATGGTGACATCACACATCCTTGTCTAAGGCCTACTTTTACTGGGAAATAATTTCCCTCTTTCCTACATACTCTAACTTGAGCCTCACTATCCTCGTAAAAACTCTTCACTGCTTTCAGTAACCTACCTCCTACACCATACACCTGCAACATCTGCCACATTGCTCCCCTATCCACCCTGTCATACACCTTTTCCAAATCCATAAATGCCACAAATACCTCTTTAGCCTTATCTAAATACTGTTCACTTATATGTTTCACTGTAAACACCTGGTCCACACACCCCCTACCTTTCCTAAAGCCTCCTTGTTCATCTACTATCCTATTATCCGTCTTACTCTTAATTCTTTCAATAATAACTCTACCATACACTTTACCAGGTATACTCAACAGACTTATCCCTCTATAATTTTTGCACTCTCTTTTGTCCCCTTTGCCTTTATACAAAGGAACTATGCACGCTCTCTGCCAATCCCTAGGTACCTTACCCTCTTCCATACATTTATTAAATAATTACACCAACCGCTCCAAAACTATATCCCCACCTGCTTTTAACATTTCTATCTTTATCCCATCAATCCCGGCTGCCTTACCCCCTTTCATTCTACCTACTGCCTCACGAACTTCCCCCACACTCTCAACTGGCTCTTCCTCACTCCTACAAGATGTTATTCCTCCTTGCCCTATACACGAAATCACAGCTTCCTTATCTTCATCAACATTTAACAATTCCTCAAAAGATTCCCTCCATCTTCCCAATACCTCTAGCTCTCCATTTAATAACTCTCCTCTCCTATTTTTAACTCACAAATCCATTTGTTCTCTAGGCTTCCTTAACTTGTTAATCTCACTCCAAAACTTTTTCTTATTTTCAACAAAATTTGTTGATAACATCTCACCCACTCTCTCATTTGCTCTCTTTTTACATTGCTTCACCACTCTCTTAACCTCTGTCTTTTTCTTCATATACTCTTCCCTCCTTGTATCACTTCTACTTTGTAAAAACTTCTCATATGCTAACTTTTTCTCCCTTACTACTCTCTTTGCGTCTACACTGCAAACTGAATTGTTTGCAATCCTAATGGCGCTAAAGCTAACCTATGACACTGAGCTTGACTCTATCATCATTACTGATTCTATGTCATCATTGAAGGCTCTTGGCTCATATAATGACTCCAACAACATGCTCATTGGGGAAGCCAGGTACAGATACTCAAAAATTAGGGACAAAGGAATTAATGTACAATTGCTATGGATCCCATCACACATTGGATTACTCCTTCATGATAAACTTACGCTTAACACTGACAAAACCTACTATATTATGTTTGGTAGCAGAGCAGGAGATGCACAAATTAACATTAAGATTGACAACACTCTAATTACCAGAAATAATGGGGAAAAATTCCTAGGCTTATACCTTGACAACAACCTGAATTTCAGCACCCATATCCAGCATATAGCCAAGAAAGTATCCAAAACGGTTGGGATCCTCTCCAAGATACGATACTACGTGCCGCAAAATGCCCTTCTCACGCTATACCACTCACTTATTTATCCATACCTCACCTATGCTATTTGTGCTTGGGGATCAACTGCAGCAACACACCTAAAGCCAATAATAACCCAACAAAAAGCTGCAGTAAGAATAATCACTAAATCCCATCCCTGGCAACAACCCCCCCCCCCACTCTTCATAGATCTAAACTTACTCCCAGTTCAGTACATCCACACTTACTACTGTGCAATCTATATCTACAGGGCCTTAAACTCTAATATCAACCTTGACCTAAAACGCTTTCTTGATAGTTGTGACAGAACCCACAGGCATAACACCAGACACAAACATCTCTATGACATTCCCCGTGTCCGACTAAACCTTTACAAAAATTCAATGTATGTCAAAGGCCCTAAAATCTGGAATACCCTACCTGAGAACTCTAGAACTGCAGACACATTCATCACCTTCAAAACTACCATTAGAAAACATCTTATCTCCCTGATACACCCTGTCAACTAACTACACGAATACCACCTGGTGGTTCACACTTACACTCACTGACTCATTTGACCATAAACAGAAATATTAATCTCAGTCTTAAAATAATGAATTTTGTGATACTCTAATACTGAAACTATGTACTGTGCCAAAACAAAAGCATTCACATTGCTAAACTCACAAACTAGTATTTAGTCACTTAGCCATAATACCAACTTACCTCATAATTTGTAATATTTTACAATTAAGAATAAAACTAAGTATGCCCGAAATGCCTAGCCATGCTAAGCGTTCTAGTGGTACACTCTGTAATCACAATTTTACTACATGTAAACCAAACAATAACCAAATTTCTGTAAACTCAGCATTGTAATCCTTATAGAGAATAAACTTTGAATTTGAATTTGAATTTGAATAAAGTTGATATGTTAGCCAAGAAGAGTATCCAGAAGGAGAACGTAGAATATAACTTTGGTATAACTGTGTCTAGCATTAGGAATAATATTAGGAGAGAAGTAAATAATGAAGATGATTGTTATAGGAATGCAGTTAGAAGCCTGAGTAGATCTATAACCCACTATGATAACATGAACGTAGATAAGTATGTTTATGGAGCAACTTGCAATGTGAACAGACTGACTGATGTTGTAGTGGCCAGGCTTAGGCTTGGTTACAAGTACTTCTGGCAGTTTGGGAGACACACAGATGATCAAACTAAATGTAAATTATGTGATCAGGCATATGGTCACTCTCTTGAACACTATGTGCTTAATTGTCCACTTATTGAGGAATACAGAGACAGACAGTATAATAACCTATGTGACATGTCAAGATATCTTATTAATGAAAATAAGATACCAGATATACTAAGCAAATTTCCTAAATTTGCTTGTAACAGATAAGTGAACTATAGATATGTAGATATAAATCCATATGTATTCCTGTTAACCCTTTGGGGCCTAGTTCCTAGGCCTTTTGTGTATCCACATGCTCTCGCGCTACTGTCCACAGGATGGATATGGGGTGCACAATAAACTAGCCACTTCGGTGGCAAAAATCTAAAAAAAAAAAAAATCTTTACATCATCATTCCACCAATCGCTCCTCTTCCCTCCCACACCCACTTTCCTGTAACCACAAACTTCTGCTGAACACTCTAACACTACATTTTTAAACCTACCCCATACCTCTTCGACCCCATTGCCTATGGTTTCATTAGCCCATCTATCCTCCAATAGCTGCTTATATCTTACTCTAACTGCCTCCTCTTTTAGTTTATAAACCTTCACCTCTCTCTTCCCTGATGCTTCTATTCTCCTTGTATCCCATCTACCTTTTACTCTCAGTGTAGCTACAACTAGAAAGTGATCTGATATATCTGTGGCCCCTCTATAAACATGTACATCCTGAAGTCTACTCAACAGTCTTTTATCTACTAATACATAATCCAACAAACTACTGTCATTTCGCCCTACATCATATTTTGTATACTTATTTATCCTCTTTTTCTTAAAATATGTATTACCTATAACTAAACCCCTTTCTATACAAAGTTCAATCAAAGGGCTCCCATTATCATTTACACTTGGCACCCCAAACTTACCTACCACACCCTCACTACAAGTTTCTCCTACTTTAGCATTCAGATCCCCTACTACAATTACTCTCTCACTTGGTTCAAAGGCTCCTATACATTCACTTAACATCTCCCAAAATCTCTCTCTCTCCTCGACATTCCTCTCTTCTCCAGGTGCATACACGCTTATTATGACCCACTTTTCGCATCCAACCTTTACTTTAATCCACATAATTCTTGAATTTACACATTCATATTCTCTTTTCTCCTTCCACAACTGATCCTTCAACATTACTGCTACCCCTTCCTTTGCTCTAACTCTCTCAGATACTCCAGATTTAATCCCATTTATTTCCCCCCACCGAAACTCCCCTACCCCCTTCAGTTATCTGTTTACAATAATGTTTACCACTGAATATATCATTGTTTAGTTAATCTTAAGTTAATTTTAAGCCTGCCCATAATGCTCTGCATACAAGGGGCTTTGGCATGTTACACTTAACCACTGTATTTTTTTGTACTTCAATGTATCATGTTCAAATAATAAATAAATAAATAAATGAAAGTAGCTAATGCAATTTTTGGCTTGCGCTTCCCCGGCGCAATTTATTTCATTTGTTTACATTTATATTTCAGTATTATATAATGTATATTTTTTATATTATACTTCTAATGATGTTATAATACTAGTATTACTATGATATAAATTTAGTATTTTTATTTTTTAGTTTGTGTTATTTTACTTAATAAATACGATTTACAGAGTTTTAATAAGAGTATACTATTCTGTAGGATAGATATTTAAGTCAGAGGCTGCACATGGAGCATTCATCAGTTCTTAAGACAACTTCAAGGAGTTCAAGCTTATTACACGTCCCATACTCCCAGTAGCAAGCTGCGTGGCTCGGGAGAAGGAAGAGGAAGGACTTTTAAATGTAAAAGGATGTAGACTTTTCAAAAGAAGTTGAATAGAAAACTGACGTGCATAGCCTTTAGTCCCATGAGTCTGTCATCCAGCTCTCCCCTCAAGGAAGGTTTCTTGATGCTGGTGAGGGGCTCTTGATCTAGGGAACTGGATCTGTGCTCCAGTTCCCTAAATACCTTCCATCCCCCCCACAGGCGCTGTATAATCCTACGGGTTTAGCGCTTCCCCCTTAATTATAATAATGTCATCCAGCTCTGAGCCATCTCATTTTACATAAGTTCATACATACATACCAATACATACCTCCAGTATGTATTGGGACGGAGCATTACATTAATGCAGCTTGACTATATTTTGACACACTTCATTTAGGACAGTAAAAGTGTCGTGATAGTTGTATTACTTTTAGGTCAGCTTTATATAATGGTATTGCGGTACATATAATTAATATTTATTCATATTTGTATTATAGTGTATGTTATATATAGTCATTACTAATATTAAAAAGTGATATGTTATGATGGCTTAACATAAGATATCAGATTTGTGTGTTTTGATAGTGTAACGTGGTAATATACCAACAGTACGTAAGAGAAAAAACATGGGTTATTGTATTTTAATTGTGAAGATGTTTCCTGCACCAGTGAGAACCCTTTTGGTGACCGAAACGTCTTCGTATGTAAAGTATTGATGTACTGAAGTTTGTAAACGTTTTCCTCTTTTCAGAGCATTTGTTGCATTTTTTTCCATTGTCTCCTTTAAAAGTTTGTCCCCATGATTTTCCTGTTGGGTAATTGATTGGAGTGATAAACATTTTAGATTTTTAACCTGCTTTAGGTGAGGCTAATTATGAAGTGTATGCAAATAAGTTATTTAGGCTTTGTGTACATAACATTATTTCTTTGCAGTGTTCTTGAGGGCACTTGCTATGGGCAGATTAAAAGTATGTAATGGATTTAACTTAGGGTAACCCAATAAAGTCAGTTGTTAAGGTCCACTGTTCCTGTTTGAGAATTTTTTTTTTTTTTTTAATTCCTGTTACTGCCCAGAGTTAAGTAACCAATGCATTATAAGCTGTGTTGGCCTAATAACCTCCAACACCACCATAGGTTATCATTTTTGTACACAATTTTACAATTACTAAATTAAATAGGCTATATGTACTTGTATAACAGTGACAATTGAAGAGTTAAAAATTTATGATGCACATTGCTATCAAAATCATGTACAGTAGAACCTCGGTTTTTGTTTGCCCTGGTTTCCGTTGAATTCGGTTTCCAACAACTTTTTTCATCAAAATATTGTCCCAGTTTTTGTTCACCACCTTGGTTTTCTTCCGCCATATGGAAAGAAAATTCCGAGAAACACGATAAAATTCAAGAAAGAACTCGTAGCAAAGTATGAAAGTGGAATGAATTGCAAAGTTTTGTGGTAAAGGGTGGTAGTGATGGCGGTAGAGGGCGGCAGTGGTTGTGATGGTGGTAGTGATTGTGGTAGAGGGCGGTAGCGATGGTGGTAGAGATAACCTCTTCCCCCTCTCCCCTCCTCGCCTTCTTCCATACTCCAACAAGATTCTTCAATAAAGGTAAAAGCGATTTTAAATGTTCATTTATCCATTTCATTAGTGCTTTATATTTATTTCTCATTGTTTTCTGTATGTAAAACTATAGTTATTCTCTATAAAATATTTTTTTTGTTAATATTTTTGAGGTCTAAAAACGTTTAATTTGGATTTTATATTTTTTCTTAGGGGAAAATTTTGTTTTCATTTTTCGCCAAATTCGTTTTCGTCAACTTCGGGAAAAGAATAAAGACAAAAAACCAAGGTTCCACTGTACACTAAAATTTTTTTAATTTCATTTTGAACTTTGTTTTCCCCATCATATTTGATACACCCATATGTATTTTATGTTCTTAAAATAATGTACTTTACAGTACTTTAATTTTAATTAATCGAAAAACCAAATTTAAAAATTACTAGGATAGCTGTGATTTTATGGGATCAAATAGGGGAAAAATTCCATTATTTCAGCATAAGAACGGCATTTGGGAAACTAGTAACATTATTAGAATAGTATGATATTACTCAAATATTTTTTTCCCAGTGTTTTTAGTTTTTTGCCACCGAAGTGGCAGTTTATTGTGCACCCCATACCTCCTGTAGACGGAAAAGCGCGAGAGTAGGGGAACACAAAAAGGCCTAGGAACTACCCCCCAAAAGGGGTTAACGGAATACATTGGATTTATATCTCATACCCCAAATTTTTTCACTTTCTGTTCAAGAAAATTTAGGAAATTTGCTTAGTTATCTGGTATCTTTTTTTTCATTAAAAGATATCTTGACATGTCACATGGGTTATTATCTGTCTTCTCTGTTTCCCCTCAAAAAAGGGGGAAAATTTAAAGCACATAGTTTTCAAGAAGTCCCATATCCCTGAACATAATTTCTTTTTATTTGATCATCATCTGTGTGTCTCCCAAACTCCAGAAGTACTTGTAACCAAGCCTAACCTGGCCACTACAACTCATCAGCTGTTCACATTGCAAGTTGCCCCAAAACATACTTATCTACTTCATGTTATATATGGGTTATAGATCTACCAGGTTTAACTCATTCCTATAACATTCTTTTTCTTTTATTTACTTCTCTCCAAAATATTTTTCCCAAATGCAGACACAGTTTTACCAAAAGTTATTTCTACATTCTCCTTTCGAACTCTTTTTGGGCAAACGTTCACTTATCATGAAGGAGTAATCAATGTGTGAGGGGTTTTCCATAGCAATTGTACTTTAATTCTTTGCCCCTAATTTTGAGTATCTTCCGGCTTCCCCAATGGAAATGTTGTTGGAGTCATTATATGATCAAGACCCTTTCAGTGATGACATAGAACAGTAATGATGAAGAGTCAAGTCAGTGTCATAGGTTAGTTTTGGGGGCCTTAGGATTGAAACAATTCAGTTTGCATGTAGACGCCCAGTTTTTAATTTTATCCCAAACCAAACAAATTTTTTACGTTTTAACTAGGGGGGGTGGAACAAGAGGATGCACCCCCTGCCAGAAGGGCCCCTTTTTTTTAGACCCATCAGTGTATAAAAATTTGTGATAACTTTTTATACCAGCTGGGGTAGAAATTTCTTCTTGAGCAGTTCTCTAACAAGAGATTAAGGAAGGGGATTAACAATGAGCTTCGGGAGGACTTTGGTATTGATTTTAAAATGAACATCTTCCATGGGGGGGTGAAATGCTCTTGTTGCCTACAGTGATACAGTTCATGTGGTTTAAAACAAATGCAATTGCACTTTTTCCAAATCCATTTAACTGTGTGTATTTACCTCTAGACACTTGGTAAGATTCACTTGACATGCCCTGGTTCGTTTCCCCTAACATTCTAATCCCCGAGTACAGTTTTAAATTTCAACAACCTATCACTGAACTAGAAATACCAAGCTCCTTCTCATGTTTTAAAAACTTTTTTTAATTGGGGCAGCCCAAAAATAATCCTAAGCTTTATTTTGCATTAAATCCAAGGGTCGGAGAGAACTTTTTTTAGCTAAAATCAACATGGGGAAACAATAATCAATTAAGGGCCTAACATAGGCAAAGTACATCATTCTACGATTTCACATTTCACCATAGTTTGGGATTGTACCAGCAACAGCTTTGGAGCATTTTCCCAGCTTTACATTTCTTTTTTAGTTTGGTATATGGATTTTGTTAAAGGGGACATCTACACCCAAAATATTGTAAGTTTTTTAACGTAAACTAATGATTCACCCTGCAAATAAGGGGGGGGGATGTCGTTTGCTTTTTTAATATCTTTGTTTTTAGAGGAAGAAATTTTAGGGCCTGTCGATTACAAATTGCTTGAACTTTATTTTAAAAATGGTATTCACTTCTTATGCCCTGTTGTATGGATCATATATCACAGCAAGCTTATAGCTATATGTTTTTGGTGAGGCAGGTAAGATTTAGGAGAGCATTAATCAAATATTAAATACGGACTAAGAAACCCCCCCCGGTTACAAAGACAATTTTTTTTAGAATCATTCTAAGCCTTGGTAAAGGGCAGAGGATACTCATTTGACAGGTACCTTTTATCCCAGATAAGCTCCACCCAATATTGTTTTGGCTAATTCATGTAGTATAACGGTTCTGTTCGCAATATCAAATGCAGATTTTAGATCAAGAAAAGTGGTAAAACTAGTAGAGGTGTGTGCAGTGAGAAAAGGGGGAAAACAGTTCTGCACACTTTTTTCCTTTCAGAACCCCTAAGGTAGGGGGGAAAGTTGATCTCTGATTCTGTAGTAAGTCTGTTTAAACATCATTCTTTTAAAATATTTTTTTTTTCCCAGTGTGTGTCCAAAAATGTACTATAACTGCAGTTCATCTCTGATAAAACTCGTGAAATATGTTTTGTACTATGGTGTCAGACATATGATATAATGATTCCCCAGAAAGTGGGCAGGAAAATAGAGAGGAAAAATGTGATAATAAATGTACTGCACAATATTGCAAAAAAAAAAAAATGTGTGTGTGTTTGTTGGTTGATCTCCATTTTATTTTTAACCATTTCAGTACTGTAATGCAATAATTATATTTCAGTCTGGCACAATTAAGTTAGGAGTAAACCTTCAAGATGGGAAAAGTCAAGAAACTTAAAAGGATGGGTGGAAAAGTGTCATGTCCCGGTCCACTTGATGAACAAATGGCACGTGAGGAAGTTGCTCGACCAACTGGGCGTATAAAAATTCGTAAAGAGAGAAGGGATGGAGATGATGAGGTAGAGTACAATACAGTGTTTAATTCCAAATTTATATAACTTTTAAGTGGTCATAAATCAGTATTATCTCCTAGCCACATACTGTGTGTGTGTGTGTGTGTGTGTGTGTGTGTGTGTGTGTGTGTGTGCGTGTGCGTGTGCGTGTGTGTGTGTGTGTGTGTGTGTTGAAATCTCATATTGTTGCTTTGCTGGAGGGTAGGTTATGAATCTATAAAACCAGCTAGGTAATGCAGTTTAGTGATTATTTTGAATATACATGTACAGTATAATATTAATACAGCTAAATAAACCTATGTCATGCCTGAATAAGGGGCATATAACTGTTCGTTTTACAAGAATGTGCAAGTGCAAACTGTCCTGAAGCTGTCATATTTTAAGGGCTGTAATTATAGCAATCAGGCTCTTGACTGAATCTAGTAGAGAGACTACCATTTTCATATCAAAATCCCTTGGCAAAGAAAATGATTTACTCTTTCATATTAATTTCTGTTTGAAGTGAAGTGTAAAAGAGGAGAGATTTTGTACAGTTAGGGTATCTAGGTAAGTAAGTCTCATTTGAAAGGATTTCTTCATATGTATTGGACAAAAGTTTGTGAAAAGAATGAGACAACTGTTATATAACAAAGAAGAAATAAGCAAAATTTTAAGTAGCTGATGCACAAGTTTTCATTAGGAAAGAGCTAGATTTTAGTATTTACTGTTAAGCTTCCTTTACTTTATTATAACATCTTGTATCCTTCTCTTACATTGCTATAACTTGAAGAGGTGCAGTATTTATTAAAACAGTGGCATTTAATCAACTTTCTCAGATTTATAAGATAGTGTGCAGATTTGCAGAAGACTTCCTGAAAATACTTCTGGGGACTATCATATATATGTATGTGTGTCTGTGTGCATATTTGTATGTGTTTGTGTGTTTGCTTTTGTGTTCACTATTTTTTTTTTTTAATTTTGTGCTTTGTTGCTGTAATTTGTCAGCTTAGATTAGTTATTTGCATTTTAAGAAAATATTTTATTCAGATTTTTAACCCCAGAGGATTAGGCACCCAGGATAACCCAAGCAAGGCAGTGTGGCATCGAGGGATTGTCTGTTTTATTTCCATTGGGGTCCTCAATCTTGTCCCCCAGGATGCAACCCACATCAGTCAACTAACACCCAGGTACCTACTTCCTTGCTAGGTGAGCGGACACAATAGGTGTAAGGAAAAACGCCCAGTGTTTCCACTCTTGCCGGGGATAGAACCACAGACACTGTGTGTATGATGCGAGAACATTGCCTACCAGGCCATAGGACACATTTTGACTTGAATGACGTGTTGATATTAGTATGCGAATGTGTGTGCATGTGTGTTTATTGTTTTATACAGAATATTTGTCTTAGATATTTAGTGTTATCTGTGCCAAAAACAGGAAAAAAGACTTACAGGTTTGCAACTTGCAGTGAAGTTTTATTCCTTACTTTTCAACCTAAGAGTTCCTTGACTAGAAAACAATACAGAAGATGGTTACTTGTCACAAGTGTTTGTACAGCAGCTATACATATAATTTGTTCCAAGTGCCTCATTTTTTTAGTGCTCTTGTCTGTAACTTAGAAACTCTGTAAGTTGGGGTTTTCTATATTTAATGAGGTCACTGAGGTATTAGCAGTAATTAAGTTGTTCCCAAATACAGTATGTTGAGGGACAACTTGGGAGGTCCATCCTTAAGCAGAGTGTTGCTCAACTTAAAGAGATGGAAGAGGAGATGGAAGATATGGAGGAAGAGGACTTTCCACTTCTGGGCACTCAACGTCCGAGAGTTACAGAAAGGTAATAATTGATTTATTCTGGACCTATACTATGTGTAAAATATTCAAAACTGTTGTGGGAGACAGCTGCTGTCTCCCACTGAGGCAGGGTGACCTGAAAAAGAAGAAACAAGTTTTTTCTTTTTACATTTACTAATTTATACAGGAGAAGGGGTTACTAGCCCCTTGCTCCTGAAAATAAAACACATTAACACATTATGAAAACAGAGTGTCAGGAAAATTTTTATTTATCCTGTAGCTATTGGGAACTAATAATAATTCATTAAATTGAGAGATAACCAGCTGCCCTTACTTTGATCATTTTCATATACTGTAACTTGGAGCTTATTATAATCTTGCATAAGGTAAATTTCACATAATTGGAAAATAAAACACAAAATAGAAAGAATGTGTATTTTGGCCTCATTCGGAAGATATAGTGCAAGTCCTGGTGACAATCTGATTGAGGAGTGCCTTCCAGTTCTAAGATGCTGGGAAGTGTATAATGTATCCAGTTAGGCAAAAAATAGTGTTAGTGATCATATATAGACAGGTGCCATTTCTATTATTGATTCATGGAACTTAAATGCAAATAGCACAGCCATAAGCTAATAACAGCAAGCAGAGCCAAAAGTTCTTGAAAATTGTCTGGAATCACTGTAATGGATGATCATAATGTCTTTAATTACAGTTGTCTTCCTGATTTTTTTTTTTTTTTGTACTCCATTGTATAATCAAACCCACAGGCTTTGATTATACAATGTTTTTACTCAAGGCCATTTAGTGAATAGCTTTGATTATATGTTTTCATTTTAGTACCCAGTGTCTTTTTTGCTTGGCAAATTACCAGTACGTAACCATAGGATTTCATTTAAAATGTATTCATGCTTAAGAATGTCTTTTAAGCAGATTAGAGAATAAATAATGCAGACATTCCTAGCACTAAAAGAGCATTTTCTCTTCATTAGTCCCATCTCCAGGCCCCTCTTATATTACGCTTGCTTTCCATTTTGAATTTTTATTCACACAAAAAATAGAAGATTTACTGTCTTGCAGACTACTGCATTATTGTAAAAATGGGATAAATAATATCAACACGTTTGTGAAAGCTTATGAGACCCACGTGTGGCATGATTTGTTTACTCTTGAACATCGGCAGAAATTGAACATTTCCGCTACTTTGAGCTCAATTTCAAGGTACTTTTAGTCTGAAAACCATTCAAAATCGTCTTGACAGTGGCCGCAAAAGAAAAGGTCTATATATTTCCAACGCAAAAAAATCAATACACTAGATTTTGGTGTATACATTTCACTTGAATTTCCACCATAAGAAAAGTGGGCAGAGCTTGTGATGGCTTAGTGTACTGAAGCCCATCTTGCTCCAAAATTCCCCACCACCCCACGCTTCAGTGCTCTTCTAGAGCTCGATGAGGAAGAAGGATTGTTACGTTGTTACTCATTGCCCATTTTTTAACTTGACCACGAACTTTGCCATGCTATATCTCTGCTCCAAGTGGTCAAAATGGGTCAAACTAAACTTTCAGTTGTAGAGAAGACTCGTGCACTCACCCTATTCGAGCAAGGCATGTCTGTGATATCTGTAGCTGCAGACCTGAAGGTGACTAGGATGGCAATTTACAACCTCAAAGAAAGCAGCTGCCTCACTCCCACCTGGCACCGTACCACCTAGGAAGGTGGGGGCTGGGGCCTCCAAAAAGACTTCTCTTCGCACAGACAAGATCCTGAAGAGCGAAGCATTATCAGATCCTGCCATAACAGCCACAGACCTCAAGAAAAAGCATCCTGCACTTCTGAAAGATGTCGCAGTGCGAACCATTCAGTACCGACTGCAAAAGGACCTGAAAATGCCTGGTTGATGTGCTACCAAGAAGCCCATGCTAATTGAAGCCATGAAGAAGAAACAGGTTCAGTTCTGCAAGAAATACAAGGATTGGACCTCAGACTAGTGGCAGAAGGTGATGTTCAGCGATAAGAACACCTTCAGGCTTGTCAGGAGCGGTTCTAAGACTGTCCATCATCCCAGTGGTGTGTCTCATTATGACCTGCTTTATGCCATGAAGACAGTGAAGCACCCTGACAGTGTTATGGTCTGGGGTGCTTTTAGTGGTTATAAGGGCAGAGGTGAACTGCACTCTCTTCCTAAGAACATTATGATGAAGGGGAGTAATTATATCGAGGTGTTAAGGGGACCACATGTTGACATTTTGGAACATTCACGATTGTGATTTTTTATTCATGATGGTGCCCCTGCCCATAAGTCAAAAGGAGTGAAAAAGTTCCTTGAGGACAATAATATCAGTGTTTTGGAGTGGCCAGGCAATTCCACTGACCTAAATCCTATCAAGAATGCCTGGCATGTGATGTAAAAATGAGATTGCAAAAGCTTGACCCACCAACATCACAGACCTGAAGGAGGCACTGAAGAAGCTTTGCATCAACATGGATGCCTCCCTCTTCTCCACTCTCGCCACTTCGATGCCCAGGTGACTTCAGATGGTGATAAAGAACATTGGTAACATGACCAAGTACGTACTAGTTGGATACTAAAGAGTGAAAATAAAATACATGTGCATACATTAAGTTGCAGTTTTTCAATTTATTGTCCAAAAATTGTTAATGTATGGATTTTTTTGCGGCCACTGTATTTCTGTAATATGTCTTCCATTCTATCAAATGAGACCAAGAAAACAAAAATACATCCATAAATACCATACGAAAATACACCGCAATGTCGGTGTTTTAAACCAAAAACATGGTCAAAGTTTTTTTTTTTCTCATTATGCACTGCATGCTGCAAGATTTTTTTTATACTGTGCACACTGAGCACATAGACCCATTATCTCACATGTAGACCTACCAGCTTTCTCCCACCAGATATGAAGGCGCTAGAATTTTTGCGTAGTATTACGGGACCAACACTGGCTCTCAAGCCGTAATATTATGGAATTGACAATGAAAGGGTTAATGTCCTCCTTTATGGAGTGGAGAATACTCATAACTGTAGACAGTAGATTAGATCTGGAGGAAGCTGGTTTTGTAAAGAAAATATTACTTGCAAAGTGGAGATAGTTTACATGCAATAATATAAATTGATTTTTCTTCTTGGATGGAACTTTATCAATTAAATTTTTAATATTCAGAGAATGCTGTTTACTTTTTGAATATATTAATAACTAGTAGACTAATGTACATTACATCTACTTTATTATTCACAAAAAAGCATTACACCCATATGTACTTCAGCTATGGCATTTTTTTGCCATTGCTCATTGTAAAGTGCTTAAATATTTTTTCTCTCAGTTGTGTGGCAGTTGCATATTAAAATTTTGAACTTATTTGGAGCCTTTATTAACACTGTCTTATGCCAGGACATGTCTGTATCTGGGGATACCAATTGTAAGTTCATCAGCAGTTTACCTACTGATGCTCCACATTGTCTTTTTTCAGTCTTCGTGTCCACATCATAAAAAATATATTCGTATCTACAATAAATAATTATTACCAACACATTGCCTTGTGTTTTGTTAAAAAGCATTGTACATTTCTTTCTTGAAACCTGCAAAAGTTAATATTTTGTCAAAATTGTAAAATGTTCATAGGGTAACTGCAGTAAAACTGAGCTCCAAATCTGAAGAAGGTGAAGAAAGTGATGAGAGCAGTGATGAAAAAGTTGATGAAACACATGCTGCTGTGCCTCAGAATGTTGACAGGGTTATTAAGGACTTTGAAGTGGAGCTGGTGAGTATTACTTAGTGTGATGGGCTCCTGATCCAAAGAATTGGAGATACCTTCCTCTTTCTTGAGCCAAATTGGATTTCCTTTCATTTACAGGTGCTGTTTTAATAGTGTACTGAGCTATGTTACTTAAAATAATAATTGTATTCAATAATAATATCTTCAGAAATCATAATTATGGTGAACTTTAGCATTTATTTAAACTCACCTATTCAGTGTCATTTAATTTTTTTCAAGTTATTGTGTCAGTGTTGCCTAACGTTGCAAAACTTTTATTAAAAAGTTTATTTGACAAATTTTAGCTCGTTTTTTTCATATTGTGTAACATATTCCACTTCTAATATACAGTGGACCCCCAACTTACGAACAGCTCCCAACTCGAACAATTGTGTAAGTGTATTTTTGTAAGTGCTTCTGTAAGTGTATTTTTGGGGGTCTGAAATGGACTAATCTAATTTACACTATTCCTTGTGGGAGCAAATTCGTTCAGTAACGGCACCCGAAGAGCTTTCTTGAATGAATTAATGTTGTAAGTTGGGGGTCCACTGTACTTTAACCTGTATTTGTTATATTAATTAGGAAGTTTTACTTTATTTCTTTAATGTCTTTAAGTATATACAGTGGACCCCCGCCTTACGATATTAATCCATTCCTGAGAGCTCATCGTAAGCCGAAATTATTGCAAGGTGAATTAATTTTCCCCATAAGAAATAATGGAAATCAAACTAATCCGTGCAAGACACCCCAAAGTATGAAAAAAAAAATTTTACCACATGAAATATTAATTTTAATACACACAAACTGAAGAATATATGCACAATTACTACTGTACTAAGAATAGAAAACATGACACCTTTATTGAAGATCTGATGATGATTGATGGGATGGGAGGAGGGGAGAGTGTAAAAGTTATTGTTTAGAAGGGGAATCCCCTTCCATTAGGACTTGAGGTATCAAGTCCTTATCCAGGGTTACTTCCCTTCTTTCAATGCCACTAGGACCAGCTTGAAAGTCACTGGACCTCTGTCGCACAACAAATCTGTTCATAGAGCTCTGTACCTCTCATTCCTTTAAGATTTGCCTAAAATGGGCCATAACATTATCATTGTAATAGTCACCAGCACGGCTTGCAATAGCTGTGTTAGGGTGCTTTTCATCCATAAAGGTTTGCAGTTCAACCCACTTTGCACACATTTCCTTAATCTTTGAAGTAGGCACAATGGAGTCCACAACTGGCATAGGCTTCTCAGGGTTAGCCTCAAACCCTTCAAAATCTTTCTTAATTTCCCTACTAATTCTCACCCTTTTTACCACAGGATTGGCACTAGAAGCTTTCTTGGGGCCCATGATGACTTATTTTGCAGTTACAAGCACAAAAAACACTGGGATAAGGTGAAATGTACCGAATGTATGCGTGGATGCAACCGCATTGCCTGGCTTGTAAACACTGGCGCTGAGGCCACACGTTGGACGCGTCCCGGACGAATCGCAAAATTTTTGCGTTCAAATGTATCGTATGGCAGATTTAACGTAACGTGATGCCATCGTAAGGCGGGGGTCCACTGTATGTACAATATTATGTTCTATTAGTCTTATGCTCTATATATAGCCTGCCTAAAATGTTCTGTATTTTTTTTTTTTTTTTTCAACAAGTCGGCCGTCTCCCACCGAGGCAGGGTGACCCAAAAAAGAAAGAAAATCCCCAAAAAGAAAATACTTTCATCATCATTCAACACTTTCACCACACTCGCACATTATCACTGCTTTTGCAGAGGTGCTCAGAATACAACAGCTTAGAAGCATATACGTATAAAGATACACAACATATCCCTCCAAACTGCCAATATCCCAAACCCCTCCTTTAAAGTGCAGGCATTGTACTTCCCATTTCCAGGACTCAAGTCCGACTATATGAACATACCCGGTTTCCCTGAATCCCTTCACTAAATATTACCCTGCTCACACTCCAACAGATCGTCAGGTCCTGTATAACCAGGGTTTTTCCATATGTACTAATGTCATCCAAATGTATAACAGCTATGTACCATGTGATTTTTTTTTTTTTCAACAAGTCGGCCGTCTCCCACCAAGGCAGGGTGACCCAAAAAGAAAGAAAATCCCCAAAAAGAAAATACTTTCATCATTATTCAACACTTTCACCTCACTCATACATAATCACTGTTTTTGCAAAGGCACCCAGATACAGCAGTTTAGAAGCATATATAAAGATGTATAACATATCACTCCAAACTGCCAATATCCCAAACCCCTCCTTTAAAGTGCAAGCATTGTATTTCCCATTTCCAGTACTCAAGTTCAGCTATATAAAAATAACTGCCTCCTCGCTACAGCATTTACAACCCAAGCTTCACACCCACATATGAGTGTTGATACCACTATACTCTCGTACATTCCCTTCTTTGCCTCCATAGATAACGTTTTTTGTCTCCACATATACCTCAACACATCACTCACCTTTTTTCCTTCATCAGTTCTGTGGTTAACCTCATCCTTTATAAACCCGTCCACTAACATGTCACCTCCCAAATATCTGAAAGCATTCACTTCTTCCATACTCTCCCTCCAATGTGATATCCAATTTTTCTTTATCTAAATTATTTGATACCCTCATCACCTTACTCTTATCTATGTTCACTTTCAACTTTCTACCTTTACACACCCTCCTAAACTCATCCACTAACCTTTGCAATTTTTCTTTAGAATCTCCCATAAGCACAGTATCATCAGCAAAATGTAGCTGTGTCAATTCCCATTTTGTATTTGATTCCTCATAATTTAATTCCTCCCCTCTCCCGAAACACCCTAGCATTTACTTCTTTTACAACCCCATCTATAAATGTATTAAACAACCATGGTGACATTACACATCCCTATCTAAGACCTACTTTTACTAGGAAGTAATCTCCCTCTCTTCTACACACCCTAACCTGAGCCTTACTATCCTCATAAAAACTCTTTACAGCATTTAGTAACTTACTACCTATTCCATATACTTGCAACATCTGCCACATTGCTCCCCTATCCACTCTATCATATGCCTTTTCTAAATCCATAAATGCAATGAAAACATCACTACCTTTATCTAAATACTGTTCACATATATGCTTCAGTGCAAACACTTGATCTTCACATCCCCTACCCACTCTAAAGCCTTCTTGCTCATCTGAAATCCTACTCTATCTTACCGCTAATTCTTTCAAAAATAACCCTACCGTACACTTTTCCTGGTATTCTCTGTAAACTTATTCCCCTATAATTTTTACAGTCTCTTTTGTCCCCCTTCCCTTTATATAAAGGAACTATTCAAGCTCTCTGCTAATCCCTAGGTACCTTCCCCTCTTTCATACATTTTTTTTTTTTTTTTTTTTTTCAACAAGTCGGTCGTCTCCCACCGAGGCAGGGTGACCCAAAAAAGAAAGAAAATACCCAAAAAGAAAATACTTTCATCATCATTCAACACTTTCACCACACTCACACATTATCACTGCTTTTGCAGAGGTGCTCAGAATACAACAGTTTAGAAGCATATACGTATAAATATACACAACATATCCCTCCAAACTGCCAATATCCCAAACCACTCCTTTAAAGTGCAGGCATTGTACTTCCCATTTCCAGGACTCAAGTCCGACTATATGAAAATAACTGGTTTCCCTGAATCCCTTCACTAAATATTTCCCTGCTCACACTCCAACAGATCGTCAGGTCCCAAGTATCATTTGTCTCCATTCACTCCTATCTAACACGCTCATGCACACTTGCTGGAAGTCCAAGCCCCTCGCCCACAAAACCTCCTTTACCCCCTCTTTCCAACCCTTTCGAGGACGACCCCTACCCCTCTTTCCTTCCCCTATAGATTTATATTGCTTTCCATGTCATTCTACTTTGATCCATTCTCTTTAAATGACCAAACCACCTCAACAACCCCTCTTCTGCCCTCTGACTAATGCTTTTATTAACTCCACACCTTCTCCTAATTTCCACACTCCGAATTTTCTGCATAATATTTACACCACACATTGCCCTTAGACAGGACATCTCCACTGCCTCCAACCGTCTCCTCGCTGCTGCATTTACCACCCAAGCTTCACATCCATATAAGAGTGTTGGTACTACTATACTTTCATACATTCCCTTCTTTGCCTCCATAGATAACGTTTTTTGACTCCACATATAACTCAACGCACCACTCACCTTTTTTCCCTCATCAATTCTATGATTAACCTCATCCTTCATAAATCCATCCGCCGACACGTCAACTCCCAAGTATCTGAAAACATTCACTTCTTCCATACTCCTCCTCCCCAATTTGATATCCAATTTTTCTTTATCTAAATCATTTGATACCCTCATCACCTTACTCTTTTCTATGTTCACTTTCAACTTTCTACCTTTACACACATTCTCAAAACTCATCCACTAACCTTTGCAATTTTTCTTTAGAATCTCCCATAAGCACAGTATCATCAGCAAAAGTAACTGTGTCAATTCCCATTTTGAAATTGATTCCCCATAATTTAATCCCACCCCTCTCCCGAACACCCTAGCATTTACTTCTTTTACAACCCCATCTATAAATATATTAAACAACCATGGTGACATTACACATCCCTGTCTAAGACCTACTTTTACCGGGAAGTATTCTCCTTCTCTTCTACACACCCTAACCTGAGCCTCACTATCCTCATAAAAGCTCTTTACAGCATTTAGTAACTTACCACCTATTCCATAAACTTGCAACATCTGCCACATTGCTCCTCTATCCACTCTATCATATGCCTTTTCTAAATCCATAAATGCGATAAAAACTTCCCTACCTTTATCTAAATACTGTTCACATATATGCTTCAATGTAAACACTTGATCTACACATCCCCTACCCACTCTGAAGCCTCCTTGCTCATCCTCAATTCTACATTCTGTCTTACCTCTAATTCTTTCAATTATAACCCTACCGTATACTTTTCCTGGTATACTCAGTA